ATATATATGTGTATATATATATATAATATATATACATATATATGTATACATATATATGTATATGTATATATATGTGTATATATATATACATATATATGTATATATATATGTTCCCTTTGAGGCAGTGGGAGCCTCATATTGTGAGGGAGGAGGTGTTGTTTGACTGTGTTTGTTTTTCAGATAACGACTGCGGGGACAACAGTGATGAGGCAGGCTGTAGTCATTCCTGCTCCAGCGCTCAGTTCAAGTGTAACAGCGGCCGCTGCATCCCAGATTACTGGACCTGTGACGGGGATAATGACTGTGGGGACTACAGTGATGAAACCCACGCAAACTGTACAAATCAGGGTCAGTGTCTTAACTTTTCACTGCAGCAGATTGTAAGAAATAAGGTTGAATTATATTGAATTTATTTATTTATAAGAAATCCTTATAAATGAGACCACCATGCTTGCAACTAAGTTTTCCAATTTACCAAGCAACTTCATATCAAAATTACTTTCATACAGCACATCTGCAGGAGGATGCGAGACCCTGTAATTAAATAGAAATAACTAAAATGTCTATGAAATCTATAAACCCACTACCTGGGTTGTCTCATCTCAGTTGCAGTTGTTTTTGACAAGATTACAATCCACCTTGATGTGCAGAATCTGAATAAAATCAGAAAAGAAAAGCAAGGACCAGAAGAACATAGATGCCATGTAAATGTCTGATTTGCTGCAGCTGATGGGACTGACTGCAGTTGATACCAGCTTCTAACACACCCACTAATAATGTATCATAATGGATTTCTCCTGAGCCCAACCTGTTTCCAAGCTATGCACACTTGTACATGAAAATGCCTAAGCAACCTGCACGTGATGCACTGAGTACGCTGCACATTGATTCTGGGGAACTAGAAAACATGGTCACCAAGAAGAACTTTTAATGGCTGTCAATATTAAAAACAAAACTGCGTAAAAAGAAACTATTCACAAACAAATAGATAGTAGTTTTTTGTACAGTATTTATGGAACAGCTATGGCAGGTGATTATTATCATGGGTGGATGTTTTCATCTCTGTTGTCATTTATTCTCTCAAGTGCACTAGGTACTAAACTCATAGCCACTGTTTACATTTTAGTAGATGTAATAAGTTCTTGGTCCCTATTAGTCACATTGGCACCAGTCTAATGGGCACCACAACTGACACCTCATAACTCTCACTAGCTGTTTAGTGAGTAATATAACAACTGTTCTCTTTTAAATAACAACAACACGGTATGTAGATATACCTACTTATTATAATGTAGTTGTTATTATGCTTCAATGACAACTGGTGTTTATGACTAAAACAAAATGCATGACTAATGCATACTTGAATCTGTTCAGTCTTTCCTGTTGCTAAGACTTGTTGCCATCCAGATTTCTAACAGACAGCTCATTAGTTTTTGTTTTGATGTTGCACATTGTCTCTGCCCAAGGCAGTTTGTCCTGATTTGATAAACGCGGGCAAGGATTGAAGACTATGTCATTTCAGAATCTCACAATGTCTCTCTCTCTGCAGCCACACGTCCCCCCGGAGGTTGTCATACAGATGAGTTTCAGTGTCGAATGGACGGCCTGTGCATCCCCTTGCGTTGGCGCTGCGACGGGGACACTGACTGCATGGACCTGAGCGATGAGAAGAACTGTGAGGGCGTCACACACATGTGCGACCCAGCTGTCAAGTTTGGCTGCAGGGACTCTGGTGAGGAGACTCTAAATTAAGAAGCATATAAAGTATATATCGTTAGTTTAAGTCATTCTTTTTAAAGTAACCCTGCCTTCTGTCCATAGCACGCTGTATCAGCAAAGCCTGGGTGTGCGACGGAGACAGCGACTGTGAGGACAATTCTGATGAGGACAACTGTGAAGCGCTGGTGTGTAAGCTCTCTCACCATGTGTGTGCCAACGACTCCACCATCTGCCTGCCTGCAGAGAAACTTTGTGATGGCACTGATGACTGCCCAGATGGCTCTGATGAGAAACTCTGTGGTAAGAGACAACAGCACCCAGGCTGTGTTTCAGTACAGGGAACGTCAAAACAGCAAGCAAAACTCTGCATCTTAAATCAAGGTTTTAGTGGTTTGATAACACTTCTCTGCAGCAATGTGTCAGTACTCCTCTGATTTTATCTCTTTTATAGACCTCTGTTCACTGGACAATGGCGACTGCAGCCATAACTGCACAGTGGCCCCTGGCGAGGGGGTGATCTGTTCCTGTCCACTGGGCATGGAGCTAGGGTCCGACAACAAGACCTGTCAAATCCAGAGCTTCTGCGCCAAACACCTTAAGTGCAGTCAACGCTGCGAACAGGACAAGTTTAGTGTAAAATGTTCTTGTTACGAGGGCTGGGAACTGGAGCCTGACATGGAGAACTGCAAAAGCACGGGTAAGGGGCCGAAATGGTACAAGAGGGGAAGCTGGTGGAGGGTCAGGGGAAGTCAGAAGACATCAGTGAACAATTTAAACATGTGATTGATGCGACCTGTAGTGTAAGGGAGGAAGCTAGAGAAGTGATTGGGCTTTGGGCTTTGACTGCAGAATCAAAAAGTGTGGTGTGGGGTTTGGGAACAAGCAAAGGAGAGGCCGCCCATGCAGGAAAACTGTGTGGTTGGAGGAGATGGACTGTGCCAAAATCTGATACTCCTTTGGACAATAGACAGAGCGCTGGAGACAGAATAAAGAAAGAGTTTAATGCCTTTCAAATCACTATATATATAACTATATGTATCACTATATGACAGGGTAAAAGGTTCACAAAGAAAACATAAAAAGACCTGGGCACTGGTTTCTAGCTGTCATTAATATTTTATTTAAATACATATTAAATATTAAATAATAAGGTGAAGAGCAGATATGCCTTTTGTGAAAGTCAGCGAGAGGACAAGGCATGAAAAAAAACTGCTCAGTCACATTGAATTAGCTTTGAATTTTATTATCCACATAAAGAATATAGTTCTTTCCCTGCAGCAACTAGCCAATGAGGAAACATGAATTTATGATTGTGGTCTTCACTGCCAGGTCTTAGAAACTAGCCAGCAGCACCCTGTCATTCATCCTGCTGCCTGTATGGATGCCTGTTAGGTACAGATAACTCCTGTCTTATTTACACTGCGTTTTAATTACCCAGGATTAGAGCCACTTTAAACACAGCTCGTCTTTCACTGGACAAGTCACACACTGCAGTGGAACATGGCTGCGATGTTCTCTGCGTTGCGGAGCGAAGCTGCTCTGCAGTATTTTGTGTAACAATCAACAGTGACCAAACAAAGGATTTTAACCCCTCTACCATCTGTGTGGTTCCTCTTTTAAAGATGGCAGCTGATCTCTCTTGTTCATTTTCACAGATCCTTTTAAACCCTTTATCATTTTCTCAAACCGCCACGAGATCCGCCGCATTGATCTGAATAAAGGAGAGTTCAGTGTGTTGGTACCAGGTCTGAGGAACACCATTGCCCTCGACTTCCATCTCAGCCAGAGCGCCCTCTATTGGACTGACGTGGTGGAAGACAAGATCTATCGTGGCAAGCTGTCTGAGAATGGAGGTTAGCATTTTCAACACAATCAATATGCTTAAATGACTTTTTTTTGTACCATTTGCTATGTTTTTGCATATATAGGGTTAGATGATGGCATAAATGTAAGGTCCACACACAAGATTTATTTCTGAGCTTTCAGCCACATCACATGGTCTTCATCAACGCAGATCATGGGATTTTTATTACATGTATGATTAAGACAACACCATCAGATGAAGTCAAGATAGATATCTGGAATACTGAACTTGTAATAAAAGTGGCTTTCTGTTTAAAAAAATAAGCCAAGTCAAGAGCAACTTACTGTATTAGGACTTCTGAAAGAGACTTTTACAAGTCTAATAGTATTAATCTCTGAATACAGTATTGAACACTACAGGAATATATATTGTAGTTCTGTTAAAGTAGACTGACGTAAGCACTTGTAAAGCTACACTGTTACGCAGTGGCGCTGTTACTGTTGCTTCTTGTGATCAGAAAATCAGATTCATATCATTTCATAAAGGCCGGACCAGTCAATCACTGCCTGGCGCTTTCATTACTGCAGCAGTAATAATGAGAAAATTATGTGTCTACACTTCTGTCACGTTGCATTTACATCTTTATATGGTGTAGTTGTTGCATGCCACGTTTGCTAGGTGCAGACAAAAGGCCACATACAGTGAGTGTGTGTTTTCTTTGCTCCTGAAGATAATGACTCATCTCAAGCAATTAGAGATGTCCCTGTCATTAGGGACCCACTGGAAAATGAAAGGATAGAAAGAGGCTGGAAAATGTAATTGTTTAGCCCTGCAAGACACCACATATTTAGCTTTTTTTAAGGCCCACTCTACAATTGAAGTATCACACCCCCTGCTGATCCACTACCATATTTATTTAGGTTTAATTTATTGTGATGTCATGTGTTTCCGAAGAATATTGCATCTAACCATTTTATTAAAGAAATTACGGTGATGCAATGTTAGTTTTGAATCCAAATAGCTTGGTCACATTTACATAGTTTGTAAATACTGAAGCAAAGTGGATCAGTGCTTTGGGTTTCGAGACAATCTGAAATGTTGCCATCAGCTAATACCTGCCTTTATCCTTTGAATTTACACATTGAATTACTGTGTGAAATCATTAAGAATAAGATACTGACAATTTTTCTGTTCTTTTTTACTTGTCTTCGTAGCTTTAACCAGCTTTGATGTGGTGATCCAGTATGGCCTGGCTACCCCTGAGGGCTTGGCAGTGGACTGGATAGCAGGAAACATTTACTGGGTGGAAAGCAACCTGGATCAGATAGAGGTGGCTAAGTTGGATGGCACCATGAGGACCACGCTGCTGGCTGGGGAGGTGGAACACCCTCGAGCTATAGCTCTAGATCCCCGGGATGGGTAATTTCTACACTGCTTACTGTACCTCCTGCTGATATCATACAAAACACGTTTACAGCAAATTATGAAAAGGTAAATGTTATTGTTAGGCTGGTACCTTAATGTTTTAATAACTGCCTGTCGATGTTGTGGCTTGATATTGGTGCAGAATCCTCTTCTGGACAGACTGGGATGCCAGCTTGCCCAGGATTGAAGCCGCATCCATGAGTGGAGAAGGCAGAAAGACCATCCATAAGGAAACTGGCAATGGGGGCTGGCCAAACGGACTCACTGTGGATTATCTTGAGCGCCGCATCCTCTGGATTGATGCCAGGTCCAAAAAAATGGCACAGACACATTCACACAAACACTTTTATTTTGTGCACACACAGTATTTTTCAGTCTACCTTGACATTTACTGAAGAAATTGTGCTATACACAGGTCTGATGCTATTTATTCAGCCAAGTATGATGGTTCTGGGCTGATCGAGGTCCTGAGGGGACATGAGTATCTGTCACATCCCTTTGCCGTCACTATGTATGGCGGAGAGGTGTACTGGACGGACTGGAGGACCAACACACTAGCCAAGGCAAACAAGTGGACAGGAAGCAACGTCACTGTTGTCCAGAGAACCAACACACAGCCTTTTGACCTTCAGGTGTACCATCCATCCCGGCAGCCGCAGGGTGAGAAACACACACATGAACATGCACGTACTGTCAAACTGTAGTTTTTAATTTTAAACTCAGAAATGTTAATATAGTAGCAGGAGCAACTCCTCTGTTTCTTTACAGTGAGTATATTCAACCTTGCAAAAGCTAAGTATTATACACACTGATTTATAGATGTTTAAGGTCACACTCTGTATTATTTGTCACTTCTCCTTAGCTCCTAACCCATGTGCGGCTAAAGATGGCAAGGATCCCTGCTCTCATCTATGTCTCATTAACTACAATCAGACATTCTCGTGTGCCTGTCCTCACCTCATGAAGCTGGGCCCTGACAAGCGCACTTGCTATGGTAAGCATGAACACACGTACATAAATGCAGTTTATGTAGAAAACACACTCTTTGAATCCTCTTTGAGCTAGCAGACAATTTTCCCCTCTGCTTGTCTTGGCAACATTGTCGCTGAATGCCACAGTATAATCCCTGTCCTTGCAGAGTAGTTTTTTTCCATTTGTGTATTTGTGTATGTGGGTGGGTGGGTGAGAGAGAGA